GACGCTACGGCCGATACGTTCGGCCATTCGACGACTCTTCCGACCGTTACTCACATGGATCAACATAACTAACTATAACATGAATTCTTATTAACAGAACAGCAGAATGAGATGTACATAACTCGAGAAATAAAAAGACCGTGGCTTCCGCTACGTGCGGTACCCGACGGCTTTGGCCAACTTTTGACAAAACAATGATTTTCCTCGACAAACTTGACCTGATTGAACATGAAATAGTATATAATGACTGAATACATGAAAATTGCTCGAGAGTTTCGAAATAAAACGAACATGCACGACATGGTCTAATTTGCACGGCCGAGAGCAATTATGAATAATTCATGAACTTAGGTCTAAGGTTTGAAATTAGGATGAACATACTTACATCAGAATAATATCAATAAGGAAATTACCTTCTCAATAGCTCGAACGATAGTAAGACTTCCTTGATTTTTCGTGACCGAACGAAGCTTTACGTGCGTACGCGAACGGCTATTACTTCTCCGTGTGTGGTGCTCAAATGGCTTAAACTCTCTTAACCTCACTTAATTCTTCCTTAGTAATAAATATAAGTGTAGGACCAAAATTTCTCCCAACTCTTGATATATATATGCACAAATAAAACTAATGAAGAGGTGAGGATTTTAATGCCCAATAATCTTACGCCAAATGCTAAGAATTGGAATAACTAAGTGGTAATTTCTTAGCTTAGTCATCAATTACATAGATTAGTCACTACTTAAAGAGGGGAGAAGAGGACACCTCATACTTAGAAAATGATAAGTTTCTCATGACAATTGCACTTAAAACTCACGGCACTTAGGATAGCATTATGCGTGATTATGTCCTTAATTAAGCTCAACTTAACATGCTTAATTATTTGATAATGCATGATTATTTGACTAAGCTTGGTACTTAAATACTTAAACTTATTCCGAGCGTAAACATGACTTCAAAAATAATTTCAAATTCTTGACTTGGACGATTAATCCAAATATTGATATTTCGAATAATTCGTCAACTTAACTTATTAATTCCGAACTCATTAATTAAAGAAACGAATCGGAATTAAATCTGAAAACTTATCCGGTTACTGAAATAATTAAACCGAATAATTTATCGACTAATAGTCGGACTTTAACTGAAACTGAATAAATGGCTTGAATTTAACTTTTGACGGTTAACTTAATTAATACGTCAACATTGGAATAATTAATCACAACCTGCTGATGTCTATTTATTAATATAAACGGACTGAGATTATTACTATCATTAACTCGGTTAATAAATAAAATTAACCGGATATATTATTGACTTAACGTCGAACTTGGAACTTAACTAGCTGAATAACATAAACTTGAATACATGAATATTTATTAACAAAGGCTAGCTTTTACTCGAAAGCTAGTATTTTCCTTTATTAATAAAATACGGGCGTTATACACTTATGAATCCCGAAAATTTGTTACGAAAATTAAGGACTAATTTTGTGGAATGATATAATACTATAAGAAAATGAATATCAAAATTCATTATTTTCGGATTTTTGAAAGACTTTCCACAAATGAGAAGTCAAAGCATGTATTGAACAATTTTTTACAACTTTCCCAAAATGATTTATTTACCTCTCTTTTATATAGATAGATTTTATATAGATAGATTATATTTTTGTAATTGTAATTATTTATTGTTATATTATATTATTTAACTATATCTATATCTACATATACTAGTATGTACCATTGCGATGCACGGGCGACTCACTTTGGGGAATATTATAAATTGAAGTTTATTAATAAATAAAAGAGTGATAATTCATAGTGACATTGTTATACAATAAAATATTCCTCATGAAACAAAATATATATATTATTAAAAATCTCCTTATACATAACATTATTACTTTGTTAACTCGACAACTCGTTGTTCCGACAAACTAATATTTTTAATCATTTACTTTTACTTGCACGCGAAACAACATATAATTAGTCGTCACTAAAAGTTGATTTCTTTAAGCACATACAACGCACGATTAAGATTGACCTAACTCTTCTTTATCTATTACTTACACGCGAAACAACAACATTTAATTAGACACGACTAAATACCGATTTCTTTAATAACATGTCAATATCCTGACACTTAAATGAAACTCAATAACAGAAAGAACTGGTGCTGCTGGGACTTAAATAGAACCATAAGATGGATTTATTTATAATTTAATGATTTAATTTGCAGTTCGACAACTGAGTTGTTAGTTTATCATTTTAATATCGATCATACTTGATTAGCTAAATAATATTAATTAATATTTTTATATTTTTTTATCTAAAAATATTGGCACTGACTCTTAAATAGAATCGTCATATCAGAAGGACTTGGTAAACTCAAATGGAACCCTAAGATAAATCTATTTATAATATAATAATTTACTTAGTTGTTAGTTTATCATTATAATATCAATTATACTTGATTAACTAAATAATATTTAAGAACTTTTTATCTTGTTAAAAACAAAATCGATCATGTATGTTTAAAATATTAAAAACACCTAAAATGTTATATAACATATGTAAGATTATCTAAAATATTGTGTATTATTGTTAAAAAATTTGAGGTCACCTAAAATTTTTCTAAATTATCTTGTAAGTAAAACATGTCTAAAATTTTTTTTAACACACACACGCTCACACATATATAACATGTTTAAAAATATTAGTAATTATATACATGATTTAAAAGGAAGCAAAATAAAGCATAGAAGAAAGCTTGAGATGACAATACATGAGAATGGCAAGCTCATATTTCATTTCTTAAGCTGTAGTTGTATATTCTCAGATATGATGTTTTCTAATCACAAGACATGCTATATACATGTTGCGGCTCATCTCAACATACTGATAAGGATTAAGGACACGTGTATGGCTCACACTTCCTAGGGTTTTTGTAGCTACACTATGTACTTTTTCATTGTCATCCATTTTGCTTTTCCACGTAGGATTGCTTTTTCTTGTCTTGCATGGCTATCTCCTTTTCTTATTTAATGACAACATGGCAGGATTAAGGAGCTCTTTTAATAGCCCCCTTCAATTCTATGCATCCATTAGAAGTGATCATCAATTTGTTTCTCAACCATGCATAGAATTGACCTGAAGGAGCTTTAATAAAGATGTCTGCAACTTGTTAAATAGCTGGAATGTGTTGGACTGATACGACCTTGCTCTCCACCTTCTCCCTTATGAAATGTAGATAGAGTTCCAAGTTCTTTGTTCTAGAATGGTTAACAGGATTCCCAGCCAAACACACTGCATCTCTGTTGTCCACCCACACTACACTTGGTTTCTGAAAACTCACCTTCAAATCGTTAAGAAGTGAATGAATCCACATGATTTCACACACAACCTGAGTTGCACTTCTGTATTCTGCTTCAGTAGTTGATGTGGAAACTACTGCCTGCTTCTTGAAGCTCCAAGATACAAGGTTATCTCTCATGTAAACACACATTCCACTAGTTGATCTTCTGTCATCCATATCTGATCCCCAGTCAACATCTGAAAAGCCTGTGATCTTGAAATCCATGCATTTATCTATTTTCAAACCATAGTCTTTTGTCCCTGCAAGGTATCTAAGGATTTTCTTCACTGCTTTCAAGTGTTTGTCTAATGGAGAATGCATGAATTGGCAGACTTTATTGACACTAAAAGAGACATCTGGTCTGGTCAGGGTAACATATTGAAGTGCCCCAACAATTTTCCTGTAAAGGAGACCATTATGCATAGGTTGACCTCTGATTTTGATAGAGGTGGATGGCTAACCATGGGAGTGTTAATACCCTTTGCCCCTTTCATGCCAGCTCTATCAAGAATCTCTTCAATGTACCTGGATTGTCTAACAAAAGACATGTAGGGGTATGAGATACTTTGATGCCTAAGAAAAAATGGACAGGGCTAAGGTCTTTGAGAGAAAAATGTGTTGCAAGAGATTGGAATATCATCCACATAGGTTAAGATAAATAAGGAATTGGTTGTAGTGTGTTTAAAGTATAGAGAAGAATAAGCTTTTGAAGACAAAAAAACCAAGAGTGGAAAGTATGGATGCTAATTTTGTGGACCAAGATCTTGAGGTCTATTTTAGGCTATAAAGGGATTTATGAAGTTTGCACACAAGACCCTTGGTGTTGGGAGATTCAAAACCTGGTGGCTGAGACATGTATATGTCACTATCTAAATCTCCATTCAAAAAGCATTATCCACATCAATCTGGTGGATATGCCAACCAAGAAAAACAGCCAAGGAGAGAATGATTCTAATGGTAGTGGGTTTAAAAATAGAGCTAAATGTCTCTGACCAATCAATGCCAGGACTTTGAGTGAAGCCTTTAATCACTAACTTGGCTTTGTATCTAGCAGGACTCCCATTTGGGTTAGTTTTGAGTTTATAAACCCACTTGCTGCCAATGATGTTTTGGTGGGGTGGAGCAGGAACAAGAGACCATGTATGGTTTCTGTGTAAGGCATCAATCTCTTATTTCATGGTTGTAAACCAAGATGGTGATAGAAGAGCCTTTTTAAGAGTAGAAGGTTCTGTGGATGGAGAATCAAGAATAACTGAGGATGTGAGAACTCTTGGTTTAAAAATGCCTGTTTTAGACCTTGTAACCATGTGATGAGAACCTGCAGCATTGCTAGTGGTAGCACACTGATCCAAAGGTAATTCTATGTATATTTGCCCTAGGTATAGAAGTGTCAGGAGAATGATTAGATTGAGAGAATGAAGAGTGGGATGAGTAATTTCTGTATGCAGAAGATGTTTGAGTGTGAGTGATTGGGGTGAATGGTGTGTTTGGATGAGATTGAATGTTTGGCCCAGGATACTGAGGAGAAGGAGGGACAGATGGAAAATGAGGATGATTATCATCTAGGTGTAGTTGAGGTGGGGAAGGAATAAATGAGGAAGTGGAAGTGTGAGTAGGTGGAGAAGGTGATGTATCAGCAGTGGTTGTTGCAAGGGAAAATGTGTGTTCATCAAAGATGATATGCCTGGAAATGATAATTTTCTTGTCAGGGAGAAGTTTTTTATAACCTTTGTGGTGAGGACTATATCCAATGAAAACTGAAGCTAAACTCTTAGGTTGAAGCTTATGTTTGTAATATGGCTTGACGAGAGGATAACACAAACAACGAAAGACCTTTAATTGATGATATGAGGGTTCTTGCTTGAGTAAAGACTAGAAGGGAGATATGTAATGCAAGATCTTGTTAGGTGTTCTATTGATAAGGTAGAAACCACTTGAAAAAGCTTCATCCAGAAAGAGAAAGGTAATTTAGACTGAAAAAGAAGTGAAAGTCCCACTTGGACTATGTGCCTGTGTTTCCTCTCTGCTAGGCCATTTTGTTTAGGTGTGTAAGGACAAGAAATATTAGAATTGATTCCCTTTTGAGCAAAGATAGGTTTGAGGGCTAGAAATTCACCTCCTCTATCACACTGAAAAGTTTTAATGCTGGAATTGTGTTGGTTTTGAACTAAGGCTGTGAAGTGAAGGAAAGCTGAGGTGGTGTCTGATTTTGATTTTAGTAGTAGAACCAACAAACCTAGTGTTGTGGTCAATGAAGCTAACATAATACTTGAATCCTTTATGAGAAGTGACTGGGGCAGGACCCCAAAGGTCTGAGTGAACAAGTTCAAATGGTTTGCATGCTTTAAGTTCTGATGCATGAAAGGGTAGTTTATAAAACTTTGATTGCATGCACACATCACATAAGACATTAGCTTTAACATCATGAAAGGAAATGTTGCTATTATTTAAAGCTGCCTTTACAATGTCATAAGAGGCATGACCAAGTCTTTGGTGCCAAACATCCAAATCAACAATATTTTTAGCTTCAGTGCCATTTAAACTGGATTGAAAACAAGAAGGTAAAGCAACAAAATTAGAGCAAGGAAGAGCATCTTCAGTTTTAACAAGCTGAAAACAATAAAGACCATCCTTAAGTGAGCCTTGGAGTAGAGGGACACCGGTCTAGAGATCCTTCACAAAACAAAAATCATGATGAAACTAAAAAAAGACTGAATTATCTTTGGCAAACTTGGAGACACTAATGAGGTTTTTGGTGATGTGTGGCACATGCATGAGGTTATTAAGAAGAAATGTATGAGGGTGACTGGAAATAGGGCATTTTAACAAAGAATTACCAAGATGAGCAATATGCATACCTACACCACTAGCTATTTGAACTCTCTCAGAACCACCATAACCACTGGCCATGTTGAGGTTATTCAAATCATTGGTAAGATGATGTGTAGCCCCTGAGTCAGGATACGAATAGAAATCTTGAGATGTGTCACTGTTCTGAGATCCATAACAGGCCACATGAGCTGAGGGATATCCTTGAATTGAAGAGAGGTTGTTGTCATTCACACTTGCTGAGCTGTTGGAAGGAGCTTGGCTTTGGTTTCTTGAGACAAAGTTAGAATCAAATCTGTAATAGCAGTCCTTTGCAGTATGGTTGTTATAATTGCAGATTCGACATCTAGGACGATTTTGAAAGAACCTTCCACTTCTTCCTCGGTTGGGCCCATTTCTACCTGAGCCTCTCCCTCTGTTGCCAAACTGATTACCAAATCTGCCTCTGTTGTTAGAGAAGCCTCTTCCTCTAAACTGAGTGTGAGTAGCCAAATTAGATGCAAGGAAGGGACCTTCTGATTCATTAACAGCCTCAATACTTTCCAGCCTGCTCTCAAAACTCAGCAATACAGCATAAGCTTCCATCATAGAACATTTCTCTGTCAATGAAGTTAGATTTACCACAACAGGGTTGTATTCTTGTCCCATACCTGATAGAAGATGTAGGACTTGATCATTTTCATCTAACCTTTGGCCAGAAGCAGCAAGCATATCACAGATTCCCTTTATCTTGTTGTAATATTCTCTTATCTTTAAACCTCCTTTCCTTAGGGTCAGCAACTCCAGCTTTAGTTGCATCTGTCTTGCTAAGCTGTGACTCGAAAAACCTTTCTTTAGACAGTCTGGGAATCTTCTTTGCTGTGTTGAGCCCAACTGTGGTGACTAGAATGCTTTCTGACGAGGAAGATAAGAGCCATGATGCTATGAGTTGATCTTGCTTGACCCAAGTGAGGTATGATTTGTTCATTATGAATTCATTAGTTTCTGAATCTCGAGTGAGTTTCTCTGGTACTGGGGTTTCTCCATTTAAGAAACCAATCAAGTCATACCCTCTAACGGTGGTCAAGATCTGTTGCTCCCATATCAAAAAAATTCTCTCATTTAATTTTGTGGTGATGAGTTGATTCTTCAAATGGATAAGAGGCTCACATGGCTAAGTAGTGAGAGCCATGTGAAGGCAATAAATGCGAGGCAGAGGGAAGGTAATCAGAGCCTAAGCTCTGATACCATAAAAGGAAGCAAAATAAAGCATACAAGAAAGCTTGAGATGACAATACCTGAGAATGGCAAGCTCATTTTTCATTTCTTAATCTGTAGTTGTATATTCTCAGATCTGATGTTTTCTAATCACAAGACATGATATATACATGTTTCGGCTCATCTCAACATACTGCTAAGGATTAAGGACATGTGTATGGCTCACACTTCCTAGGGTTTTTGTAGCTACACTATGTACTTTTGCATTGTCATGCATTTTGCTTTTCCACTTAGGATTGCTTTTCTTGTCTTGCATGGCTATCTCCTTTTCTTCTTTAATGACAACATGGCAGGAGTAAGGCGCTCTTTTAATATGAATAACATGTATACATGTACAAAATATGCATGAACAATATGTATTACGACCTACAAAACATTAAAATTTACATCACGCTAATTTTATGAGAGAGATTTATATAGTAGATATAAAATATAAAAGACATTACTTCCCGCTAATTTTTTCAAGCCGAATAATTTTTAAATGGATAGGGAATTTTTGGGATTCTCTTTCAGTAAAAAAAAGTTCTGGAAGGAAATAAAAAGTCGGATTGTATAGGATTTTGGGTTTTTATTCGCATTAAAATATTAATATATTAAACTGGCTTTTTTTTCCGTGAATGCTATGAATATTAACTTAAGAGTCCTACTTTGACGAATTTGCCAAATGTATTATTATATTATTTAACTAGTTGATTATTTGATATAGCTTTATTTTTTTTTTTTTTTGTTTGGCAGAGTCCACAAAAATGCAAGAGATGCGGCTACAAAAAAAGGAAAACAAATCTGTAATTGGGAAATAGGAGATTTATTCGAATTTTGATTTCATATTGGTTACCAATATAAAAGTACTTGTTGTCATTCCTAAAAAAAAAAAGGGAAAAAGATGATAAATCGCGATTTGCGTTAATTTTACTATTTTTAGGAAGTAATTAATGAAAGTGGCGGGAAATTTTTTCTGAATTTGATTTATGTTAATCCTTATTATATATATATATAACTTAGAAATTAACTTAAATTATTTTTAGAAATCTTTTCCCACCATGCATTAATTACACTCTATTAATGACGATCCCGATATCAAGTCTAGGATTCCCCCTCTTAGACTCCAAGCACTCAATTTGGCCAAAGCGGAGAAACTCTTTTATCAACAAAATGCCAACTGCAACTTTCAAATCAAGGGTGATAAATGCACCAAATTCTACCACGACTTGGTTAAGAAGAGAGCAAAATGGAACTACATTGCATCGATTAATCGGGAGGATGGCACCGTGACTGAATCCATGGAGGATGTTGTCAAGGAATTCGTTATCTACTACGAGGCTCTCTTGGGAACCGGAGTAGAAACGGAAGACGTGGACCCCCAAGTACTTAGAGCAGGACCGTGTGTCAGCACTGAGCATTGTAGCTCTCTTATTGCCCCGATGACCGAGGCCGAAATCAAGTCCACCCTTAGAGACATAGAGGGAGGTAAGTTACCGGGCCCGGATGGCTATACTTCTATCTTTTTCTTGGATAGTTGGGCCATTGTTGGGAATGACATAGTTGCGGCTATGCAAGAGTTTTTTTTTCTCTCCGGGTCCCTCCTAAAGCAATGGAACCACACCACCCTCACGCTCGTCCCGAAGTCCTCTCACTCCTCGAGAGTAACGGACTTTCGGCCAATTGCGTGTTGTAATACGGTATAAAAGATTTGCTCCAAACCTCTTGGAAGGAGAATTAGCGAAGTACTCGACTCCATCATTGATGAGGCTCAAGCCGCTTTTGTGAAAGGGAGGAGTATTACGAACAACATACACCTCATGCAACAATTATACCGGCTCTACTTGAGGAAAAGAGTCTTCCCAAGGTGCATAATCAAAATTGACCTCCACAAAGCTTTTGACTCCATTTCTTGGTCATTTTTTAGGCAAATGCTCGAGGGCTTGGGCTTTCCATCGGTCTTTACAAAGTGGGTCGTGGAGTGTGTCACTACTCCGTTGTTGTCGTATGATTCTTAACAACAAATTAACGTTGAGTTGAACGTTGAGTTTTCATGTTAATTATGAGTGGTTTGGACGTAAAGTATGAGAAAAAGACTCAACAATGGCCCCGGTCCGAGGTGAACCGAGGTGGAAAGCCTTTGTGGGCTGTTGCGCGTTGCATTATAGAGTGTTGGGGTTGGAACTGGATCCCCTTACAGATATCATTGGCTAATTATTTATAGTAATATCATTGGCTAATTATTTATAGTAACCTTTTTGATACATACATTGGGATCTGTGTTTTATTTTCAGCATAAAGCTACTTTAGATGGGCGGTTGGATCAGTGGGCCCTACGTGAATGATGACAAATCTCGTGGATCGTGATAGGGGCGTGTAGGCGCCTCGTCACCTGCTTTAGGAGGTGATGACCTCGGTTCATGTTGACCTCGGTTTGGAATGACTTCGGCGGGAGAGAATCACTTCGGTCTTCTAGGGTTGTACCGGTTTATTGTGCGAACCGGGATGACTCTGTGTTACGTCGACGTCTGAGTCAAATTCGCTTACAGTGTTGTTTAAGATCCTTAATTATGCTTTACCGAGTTGGATGATAACAGAGAGGCCCCCAATATCGGTGGGCATACGGAGTGATGGTCATCGATATTGCCAAACAACTAGAGGTTCCGAATCGGTAAGAATTTGGCAGCTGAGTATTCGCTGTCTGTGGTATCCCGATGTAACTGAGGTAACCGGAGTGAGTTGCCTGTTCTGAAGTGAAGACTAGATTCCGAGGTAGAAACACTTGGCAAAATTTGGGTACATCACGGACGGATATGAAGGAGGCTTGGACAGACGTAACGGTCAAACGCAGTAAAGATAAAGTGTGAAGAGTCGCGCCGTAATGGCTTTAAGTATAGTAACGGCTACTTTAATAAAATAATGACCACTTGGTTGCACCGTTTGGGAGAGAAGGATCGCGTCGATTACACGTGCCGTCTGTTGAGGATGGTAACGGTCCATAATTAGGGCTTATAAATAGGATAATGGAATTTATGAACAATCTTTCTTCATTTTTGCTTTGATTCTCGTCTCTTCGCAAACAAGTAACCTTTCTGTTGAATTTGCCTTGCGAATTTTGAGAGCCAATCTTTGTGTGCTACTTGCTTGCTGACCGTTTGTAAGTTTCATCTTTGATTTTTATTCAATTCTTCATTTTGTGTCGTTTGTTTTCAATGGCACCGAAGGGAAAGGGTAAAGCGGTGGCGAGTTCTTCTAGTACCGAGTCGGTTCCGTTGGAAGTTTATCATGACTCGGAGCTGGTTGAATTAGCGTTTGAATATCATCGGTGGGATCCGATGTTGGTGAGGCATCTAGATATTAAGCCTAACGATGAAGATGGCGATTGTGTGGTGGAAGAAGGTGCTGCCGTCGTTGAGGTGCCTCACTGAAGGAGGCCGGTGAGAAAGTGGCCTGATCCCAAGGTCGATTTTGAGGGCGAACCAGTATCTTGACCGATGCCGATGTGGTAATGTTGTGAGAGCAGGTGCGGATTCCCCCTTCGGTGAAGATTTTTGCCCCTTATCCCGGGGAAAGAATAACCAGTCCTCCTCCGGGTTGTGTTGGAATTTTTGCCGAAAGTTTAAGGTCGGGGCTGATATTCCCTTTACCGAATTTGATCACGGAATATCTCCGAGGTTGGGGGTTACCACTGTGCCAGATTACCCCCAACAGTTGGAAAAAGATAACTGCTGCACGAGCAGGGCGAGGGGTTGCCGTCATGCGAGGAAATAAGGAGTATCTTTGCATTTAAAAAGAGTCCGAAAAGGCATGTGGCGGAGTCTTCGTGTTGTTTCTTTGCCGGAGCGAAGCCACAGCATGGTCTAAAAGTCGGTGAGATAATAACCGATATCCCGGAAACTCTTCACGGATTCCAGGAGGAGTGGTTGTGGATTGGGGGAGAATGGCAGTCCGAGAGCTTTTTCCATGAACCTCGGATTGACGGGATGACGATTCCGATGTTTATTCATTCAGGAGCAAGTGAGTTCATTTCATTTTTCAACTCAGATATATCTTTCTGATTTTGTTTTGTTCTG